AGCTTAATAAACAACACATTAAAGCTGTAAAATACGTACCTTAGCTCCCCCTATGAAGATGCATCCTTATTTAACATTCCCAATTCAAGCCGTATAAAATTGAATCGATCTTCACTTAAAGTCTTCGTAAAAATGTCAGCAAATGAAAGAGATAGATACATCACCTTTTTCCACATGATCTCTTATAAAATGATGTCGCACGTCAATATTTTTAGTACGAGAGTGCTGCATAGGATTCTTTGTGATTGAGATAGCACTTGTATTATCACACTTAATTGGAATTCTTGTAAATTTCAAGCCAAGATCTCGAAGTTGTTGAGATATCCACAGAATTTGCGAACAACATGCACCTGCTGCAATATACTCTGCTTCGGCAGTAGACAATGCCACCGAATTTCGCTTTTTAGAATGCCAACTAATAAGGGATGAACCCAAAAATTGACAGCAGCCAGAAGTGCTTGTTCTATCTACTTTATAACCTGCAAAATCTGCATCAGAATATCCAACAAGCTCAAAGTTGCTATTTTTAGGAGACCAAAGTCCTTAGTACAATTTAAATAACATAGAATCCTTTTTAATGCAGTAAGATGAGATTCCTTGGGGTTAGCTTGAAATCGTGCACACATACAAACACTAAACATTATATCGGGGTGACTTGTTGTTAAGTATAAAAGAGATCGAATCATACCTCTATATTCCTTCTGATTTACTGACTTACCGTCTTCATCTTTAACTAACAATAAAGTAGAACTCATGGGAGTTTTTGCTTCTTTGGATTGCATCATGTTGAACTTCCTTAGGAGGTCTCGTGTATATTTTCCTTGATTAATAAAGATGCCTCCCTTTTCTTGTTTAACTTGCAATCCGAGAAAGAAGGTTAACTCACCCATCATGCTCATTTCAAATTCCCTGCACATGATCTCAGAAAATTCTTTGCAAAGAGAATCATTAGTAGCACTAAACAAAATATCATCAACATAAATTTGAACTATCAATAAATCTTTTGATTTGGTTTTTATAAAAAGAGTTTTGTCAACCAAACCTCGTTTAAAACCAATTTCTAAAAGATATTTTAACAAACGCTCATACCAAGCCCTTGGAGCTTGTTTCAAACCACAGAGAGCTTTGTCAAGTTTGTAAACATGATTTGGAAAAGACTAATTTTCAAAACCAGGAGGTTGATTGACATAAACCTCTTCTTGTAAATTACCTTTTGAGAAAGCGCACTTGACATCCATTTGAAAGAGTTTGATTCTCATGAAAGATGCAAAAGCAAGCAGAATTCTAATAGCTTCCATTCTTGCCACGGGAGCGAAAGTTTCTTCATAACCGATCCCTTCTTCTTGATTATATCCTTGAGCTACTAGTCTTGCTTTATTCCTCACAATCTTTCCATTTTCATCAAGCTTGTTTCTGAATACCCATCTGGTTCCAATTACTGAATGATCTTTGGGTCTTGGAGAGAGAGTCGAGACTTTATTTCTCTCAAACTCGTTTAGCTCGCTTTGCATGGCCATTATCCAATCTGGTTCTTGAAGAGCTTCTTTGACATTCTTTGGCTCAATGAGGGAAACAAAAGCATGGAAAGCACGGAAATTTTTGATGTTTGAACGGGTTTGGGTACCAGCCTTTGGGTCAGAAATGATGTTATCTATAGGATGGGATTAGGCATGTTTGAATTTTTTGCGCATCATTAAAGGAGAGGATATGGGTTCTTGAAGCACACTTTCAAGGCCTTAATGGATCTGAGGGCTTAGGGTTATTTCAGAAGTAACTTAATCAGTGAGAGGTTTCAAGGTCTTGAGGTGTAGGGTCAAGGTTTTGAGGAGTAGGTTCAGGATTTTGATTTAGTTCATCGGTGTTTAGGATGGGTTCCTGGAGGTTTTTGGTAGGGCTTCTCTCTTCATCTTCGGATTAGTTGTCTTCATCTTCTTCTTCTGAGAGATGCTCTTCGTACTTGTTTAACTTCAAACCTGTAAATCACATGAATACTTTCCTCAACAACTTTAGTACGTTTATTATAGACTTTGTAAGCTTTGGAATTTAAAGTATATCCAAACAAGATTGCTTCATCACTACATGCATCAAATTTACCAAGGTTATCTTTGACAGTATTATGGACAAAGCAAGTACATCCAAATGGTTTTAGATAGAAAATATTTGGCTTTTTCCCTTTAAACAGTTCGTAAGGAGTTTTCTTCAAAATAGGGCGAATTAAGCAACGGTTTGAAACATAGTTAGCTGTATTCACAACTTCTGCCTAAAAATATTTTGGTAAACTGTTTTCTAAAAGCATTGTCCTGGACATGTCCTCAAGAGTGCGATTATTACGTTCCACAACTCCATTTTGTTAAGGTGTCCTAGGAGCTGAAAAATTGTGGGAAATGCCATATTTTGCACAAAAGTTTTCAAAATTTAGTTGATCAAATCTCTGCCATGATCACTTCTTACAGCGCCAATGGGTAGGTTTTTCGGAGTTTCTAACTCTTTGCAAATCTTTGAAAATTCAAGTAAAGCTTCAGATTTTTCACTTAAAAAGGAAACCCAAGTAAATCGGTTAGTAGTATATAAGTATGGATTCAAAATAAAATCTTATCCCTTGATTAATGTATTCTGTTAAAACATAATTTGTTAGTGTAAAAGATAAACATTCACTCTAACAAATATATATCCAACATATTAAAAGATAAATATGAAAATCAGAATTGCGTTAGATAACATTAACTTAGGTTTAATATTCTAACAGCCCAAAGTAAAGATAAACCGTGGACTATGGCAATATCAATCCTACATATATTGGGCTTAATAAAATCAAACACATTATAACAGCCCATAATAAATATAACGTGTTGGGTTTGACTTCCATCATAAAATACAAAGTTAGATAAAATAATAAAGCCCATAAAATAATAAAGTCTATCAAGGTGGAGTCTTCAGAACAGATGCTCATTATGCGGTTTAATTCATGGAAGAGGTGATATTGCTTGTGTTTATAGGTTCTGTATTTTGTTAATTTTCTCTAATTTGCTGGCGGTTCTTGGCAAATATATATACTGATTCTATTTTCAAAATAATATGTGGACTAATTCTAATTCCGGGATTATATATGGCCTGAATCTAATTTCAGGCTAGTGTATGACAAAGTTTATTAATGTCAAAGTATGCACTGAACTTAGTGTGAAAATCATCTTTTAATTCTCCTAGAGTCCATATATTTTACTGGACCTTGTGCTTGTGAAAACTTCAATTAGTTGCAAACATTGCATCAATATATTATTTGGTTAATGCATTGCATCAACTTGTTTTGACATGGCTGACATGGCAAAGGAGATTGTCGAAACAATTGCTTAATTCCATCTAATCTGATTATTTGACTTGATATTAAGCTTTGATTGTTTATACTTTACAGGTTCAGAAAGCCATTAACACAAAAAAATAAACTAAGTGTTCCTATGTGCTAAGGTGTGAGGTGGGTGTTGCAGGTTCCTAAGGCAGCCTTAAAATTATGATCAAAGTTGCAGCAACTCGGAAAATGGTGGAAGATGTAAATTATTCAACACTGATTTAGACGAAAATCATTTGAATCTTATCTTAGTCTTATTAAGTAAACTTGTTTTTATTATTATTACAATTGAGATTTGCTTCTTTTTTTTTTCAAGTTTTAGTTATTAGGAAAATGAATGCAGGCTTTTGATGATTGTATATTATGTACTTATATAATATATAAATTTCTCTTATTATTCGAAAAATTGACTCTACAATATAAATCCAGCACTCCAACAAGTGCTGAATTTTTTTTTTAATTGGATCCCAGACTATTTGTAACGAGCTTTCGAAAATGCCCGTCACAAATAACCCGTTATTCGTAACGGGCACTTGTTTTGCCCGTTACAAATAACATTTTAAAAAAAACGCTCGTATACGTAACGGCAGCTACCCGTTACGAAAAGCCTATTTTCGCCAGTTACGAATAGGTATTTTTCCACTAGTGACTAGCGATGATCTTCGAGCTCGCAAACCTCTTGAACTAATTGAATCGGCCGGAAGTTGAACGCGAAGAAATTGATAAGGTTTTAGCAACTCCTGCAGAAATCTTGTTAAGGAGTTGAATTGATCCAAGTCTTTCATGCCGAAAAACCCTATTTTCTGCATTTTAAATTGTCGGACTATTGTCGATTGAAACTCTACAATTAGGTTATGGCGACCTTGAATTTTTGTAACAATGGCGGACGATTAAATCCAGAAACTTCGCAAGGGTATGGGGAGAGGGGTGGGGGTTCGCCAGCAGGGGAGGGAGGGATGTGGGGTTGCCGATAAGGGTAGGTAGCTGGGCGCCGCCGGCCGGGGGAAGAGGTTCATGTGGTGGCTGGGTTAGTGGGGAAAGGGGTTGGTTTTATTTTTTTTTAGATATTTCTAAAATAATTTTATTATTAAAAAAATACATAATTAACTATGGTTAAAGATTTTTATTATAATAGTTATTGTCTTTGGTAATTAAAAATATAAGGTTACCAATGATAATAACTTTTCTTCCAATTTACCATAGAGAAAAATGAAAATTTGAGTGTTATTAAAGAGAATTTCTCTATTTATTTTTAGCAGATATTATTCAATATATATACATGTATGATTTATCATCCTTAAAAAAAAAGTATGATTTAACTTTCAATAATATAAATCTCGTTAATACATTTGGTTCGGAGCAAATGATGGTCATGGGAAAATATATAAATGTATGATTTATCTTCCTTAAAAAAAAAGGTACTTCCTCCGTTCTCTTTTACTTGACTCACTTTGACTTTTATACTATTCACCACATCTCTTTTAACCGTCTTTTGTGAATAATATGTAAGGAAAAATATATTCATGTAGGATCTTTTTATATTCGTCTCAGTACTATCATAATATATAACTTTTATAGTTCTTACTTATGGCGAATTAAAGTTATTGATTGTTAAAGTTTTACATAGACAAACGCAATAAAAGAAACAGGTCAAATAAAAAAATATGATTTAACTTCCAATAATAGAAATCTCGTTAATACATATGGTTCGCGAGCAAATGATGATCATGGGAAAACAAGGCCACATAACTCAAGACACTTCTAGAACCAAATTTCACATACTTAATTTGGTGGAGGTTACATGTAGCCTGTAGGAAGTGTTACCTCCGATAAAGTTATAAACTCCTTGCAATGAGCACATAGTTTTAGTTAACTGAGCAACGCCAAAATCTACTCCTCAAGAACAACTTTTGGTTTTATAGACTAGAAAAGTAGGAAGTATCACCTTCCGTTGCCTGTGTACATTATAAACTTCATAGGAAGTTGTACGTCCTCTGTTGTCGTTAGCTGAACATCAAGTCTACTTCTCAAGAACCTCAAACGAGTCAAAAAGTAGATCAAACAACACCTAGATCCTGATGAAATCAGGTTGCCTCCATAGTACGAAGTAACAAATAAATAGCCCTTGATTGCCGAATACATTATTTTTTCACACGTGCTTCCTGTTAAGTATAAATGGGCTTTATCATCCATCGTAATTCAGGGTTGTTTACCAAAGGATCATCTTCCGTCATTGCAGTGGGTAAAGAAAGATCTCTAGACTACATTGGTATCGGTAATCTGTGTACTATGACTATTAAATCACTGAGTTCTACAAGTCTAAATATTCAAAGCGAACGTGAACCCACTTCCACAATAAACCCTCGATATGAGGCTGTTTTCTTTTAATAGAACAAGCTGGGGGACAGTGTGATCACTAGTACTTCCCAAACCAAGCTGACCATGTTCACCCCAACCCCAAGTGTATAATTGTCCATCATCTGTTATTGCAAAACAAAAGAAAGTTTCAACTTAGGGTGAAATGCAGTTTAATAGAGTGGATTTCATGAAATAAAATGTAAACCTGCCTGTTAGTATAGCTGAATGCTCAGCTCCAGCTGCAATTTGCGCAACTTTCTTCCCATCTAGACCGGTTACTTTTGACAGAGTGGGTTCACCTGAAAACAGAGTTCACGCAAAGAATTTTGAAATTGCAGTTGCAGTGAAACAAAGAGAAAGAACAGGAAGACGGGAAAGTGGAAGCTCGGTATTGATGTAAGACAAACACGTTCAAATCACAGTAGAAACTAGAGTGTTAGACATGCAGCAATATCCAATTCACAATATAATTTAATTTAGCAGACATTGAAATAGTATATCCTGTGTCACATTCAAAGAATTATACAGTTCAACCAAATAAAATTGTCTAGCATGCCAATTTGGGAAACAACTAGATATAGGAGCTCTTTGAGGATTTTACACAGTATCTTCTCAGAGAAGTTCGGATTAATTCCTATGAACTTTTGCATTAAATAAAGGTTCAAGTCGAGCAAAAATATAATCCTATAAATTTTTGTGAAATTTTCAAGCCAGAAAATGAAGGCTAAAAAAGAATACCAAAACATAAAGGCAATTGGGGTTTTTTCTTATTATCAAAATCCAGGTTTTTATGCAGAAAGCCAGAAAATAATAATCGCATTACCAGATGAATTATGAAGGTGAGTCATTTTTTGAGGTTCGCTGAGCACTCCATGGTGACTGCCTCCAAGCATAAAGACTTCCCCTTCACCTATTAATTAGAACATACAGTTATTAGTCAAAATTGTTACAAACCTCACATTTAGCAAGTAGCAGATCAAATTAAAAAGCAAGTTCATATTTTACTTGTTAATACCAAGGCATGATTCCAACCAAGAGCAGCTTGCTCGAAGCTCAAAGATGAACACACAGACTGAGGGATACAAACATTTGAACTGCTACTAAAACTTCTTCCCCATGTGTACAGACGACCACTGCCTAAGATCAAAACAGCGTAAATCAGAGGTTCTTCATCCAAGTGCTTCCCCAAGTTTCTACATCCCATATTAATATGAAGAAAGCACATCTTCTCACCTGACAATGCAGCACTTTGATCTCCATTTGCAAGAATGGCCACCACTTCAGCATGTTCCAATCCAGAACACGTCTTGGGAAAACTCACCGATTTTATTTTATCTTCAGAAACACCCAATTGACCGCGCTTGCCGGATCCAAATCCATATACTTTGTCTCCCAAATTACCTGCATCAATTAATATCACTTTTCATGGTTTTAATATATTATGGATTATTAGATACATGGTACATAATCTAGATTTTTACTTCTTTTAGAAAGTAGTCATATCATTATGAATGAAGTTGCTAGCAGATAAACAGGAGACATGTAGAATCTTTCTGTTAAGACCACACAATATAATTTTTAGCCAAAAGACTTTATGCTTGCATCGGATGAGATTAAGCTTCAAAAATTACCTTTTAATAGTACCAATGAATGTCGCATGCCACAGGCTATCTGCTCTACATGCTTAGAGTTGAAAAATGAAACTTCCATCGGGGAACTGCAGGACTGATAATCACCATGGCCCAGTTGACCAAACGAGCCATCCCCACAAGTGAAGAGGCGTCCAGAATCTAACATAGTTAGTTTTTGGTGCCAATACAGCAACATATAATGACAATAGAAGATCAATATTCACCTCAGAGGAAGTTATGAATCTAATATCAACAGTCCACATGACAAGAAGTTCGATCAACCACACAACACGACAGAAAAACAATGATAATCTCAAAAGCATTCTATTACAAATTCATATAATTTGGGGCAGGTCAAAACTCAAAAGTAGATTGTCTCTATATTGCCTAGGAAACACATGCAAGAACATGTACACCAGGGTTAGACCAGAATAAAATCCAGAAGTCCATAACATTTCCGTGTGACATATCAAGTTACCCCAATACGGTGTTTGGATGGAGAATAATCATTCTTATCAAGAGATGGGTAAAAAGTGAAGATTTAACATCTTTAAAAGAAAACTCCAAATTATAGCCTATGTTAGTATATCTAATTATTACACCTTAAGTACTAGAGTCAAATGCTCGATACTCTTGGCATATTTTCCGATACTTGGATAAGTGGCAACAATCAAGTCTGACATTAGGAGACATTTTTGTGCTCAATACTTGTGATATCCATGTAATATACACAGTAATACTTATTTGTTGAATACAAATTAGAATTATTTACAAGCAAAAATCTCATATCAAATACAATATTGTACGAGCATATGCATAATAGCTCTATCAAGCAACTTCTCAATTGAACTGCAAATACATCAAATCAAATTACATGAGCACAAAGATTATAAAAAGACTATTCAATGGCTACAACAAATATGTAGCCATGGTAATTGTTTTCAATCTCAAACATTAAAATTTTAAGGATAAATCTTGTTCATTTATTTGTTTGACTATAAAAAAATTTAAAAAAAAAAAAAAAATTAACTGTTTTATTTGAAATATAACTGTTTGTTTTTCTAAAAAAAAAAAAAAAATTAAAAAAATTTAAAAAAATAAAAAAAAATAAAAAAAACTTGTTTTTGTAGCCAACACAAGCAATTTATTATTTTCTTTGATCTACCCAGCAAATCTCTCAATCTCCATTAATTGTATAGTAGAAAATCAACATGGTTAACTTTGCATTTTCATCAAGAATATGAATATTAGAAATTTTATCCTCCACAATTAACTACTCTGTATCTTCTTTCCTGCAAACAAAATATCACCCAACACCATTGTTATACAAAATACATCATACTAAAGTCGAAATTCAAAATCAAACGTATCAATGGAAGAAAGGATTGAGAAAAATACTTTGAGGCTTTTCTTAAAAGTAATCGATCAATTCTAATTTTATTTAAAGAAAAAAACTACAGTAAATTTTATTTATTATTAAAAAATAAAAAGTAAAAAAAAAAAATAGTCAACTCAATGAATGGTTAAGATTTAATACCAAATTTTAAAGGTTGAGATTGAAAAATTACAATGGCTACAAAATTATTGTAGCCATTGCAAAATTGTCCAAGATTATAATCACACTACATACACATATATCAAGTCAATTCCTATGAGCACAAAAAACTTAAATTTACACTGCATACTTGTGACAGTCCATATAATATGCACAACAGTCTTCATCTTCTCATGAGTAGATTATCACATATTCCCACAAATATGTATCTCAACTTGTCGAAATATTGAATAGTCTGCTCGAATACTAACACAAGCATGCCTGTCCAATTGAATTGCAACTTACATAACAATCTTACAAATTCCAATCATACCAAACACACTTTTTAATATTTACAGACAAAGGAATTTGGATTCAAATTAACACAAGAAAAGCATAAAAAAAATAAATAAACCTGAAACAAAACCAGAGTGATTCCAACCAGCAGAAACATGGGAAATGTTGAAATTTGTCAATGAATCCACAAGCTTAGGGTACAAGGAATTAGGCATAATCTGACCAAGTCCCAATTGCCCAGATGCTCCTCTACCCCAACTCAGGACCTTCCCACCTGCAAATCAACATCAAATCATAATTACCAAAATACCCTTCAATTGAAAACCCTACAAAATTGAAGAAAAAGATTGGATTTTTATTCATAGATTTTGTACCAGAAGTGATGGCAATGACATGGGCACCACCGCAAGAAAGGAGAGAGATTTGACCAAAAGAAGAGAGAGGATTGGAGAGGTTGATGAGAAGTTGAGGGGTAAGTTCGTCTTTTAAATTTCCAGTTCCAAGTTGTCCTTCTGTTCCTGCTCCCCAACTCCATAACTCTTGCTGTTTGAGTTCTGTCGCCTGCTGCTGCGTTGTTTCAGTTGCAATTTCTCTTTCTTGTTGTTCTTCTTCGTTGATCTCTTTTTGTTTTTTGAAAGCTTTTTCCTGTTCCTCCATTGCTGCTTTCTAAAGACTTGTTCTGTTGAGGGATTGTATAACGATATAATTTTTGTAATTTTGGGGTAAGTAATGGGTATTTTGGGAATTTCTGGGTAAAAAAATAAGGGAATTTTTGAGAAGTTGTTTTAAATAAATAAATAAACACTGTGCAGAAAATTCATGTTACTGGTACCAGTAAGGGGAAAAAACCTGATTCACAATAATATTATTGTGGATCTAACGTGGTGTTAATTATAAAGTGACCCTAATTTTAATATAATGACCTTAATTATAGCATAGTGACTTTTTATATTCATATTAAACCGTTTATTAAAACTCTCATTATTAAACATATTGTTTTCAAAAAAAAAAAAAAAAACATATTAATCTACGGAGTATTATATACGACCTTTATTATGATACAATAATTTTTATTTTTAAACATAATAACCTTTATTTTGACATAGTAATTCTTTCATTAATATAACGATTTTATTTTAATATATTAACATTCTAACATAGTGACCTTGACCTTAATATTAGTTCCGTAAAACAGTACTTTAAGTTCAATGGACTATTGAGTACGGTGGATCAATTTTGATTTGTTTGAAGTCACAAGTACTTGTAAGTTGTAAGTGCAAGGAATCATAGCTACCCCTGGTCCTGTTGCTGCAAAGTCGCAACCTTTTTTCTGAAATGCCCATGTTGCAGCAAGGACACACTTTTTATACTTCAAACTTTCCTTTAATTTTTGATGATTAAACATCAAGCGACAACTTCATTTAGGAAGCAAAAGCTTTTGCATAAAAGATACAAACTCACATAATAACTGGAAATTTTACAGTGACTACCATAAATTTAACTATGTGGCGGAAGGTGATTGGATGTAGTTATCCACATCAGCTTTGACTTATCAACACTTAATTTAATTAAAATCATTATTCTAATTTTTAAAATTCATTTTTTGAAAATTAAATATTCTAATTATTGAAATTCATTTTTTAATTTCATAAATAATTTCACAAAATCAAATAAAAATCAAAATCAAAAAATTAAAATTAAAAAAACGGTTCATGAATGTTCTTCATTATCCTGAGTTCCATTCAACTTCTACAAGAAATAATCATCCCTCTGACTTCCATCCAATTTCTGAAAAATCCTAGTTTTGAATGACAAGGATTACGATTACAAGATTGTTCGTGTTACCGACTTTTGTAGTCATGGTAATAAAATGAGGCAAGTTATTGTTTATAGCACTAATCGGAATAGTTGGGGGTTTACCTTGTGTGGTTGAGGATGTTAAATATTGTTTCAGATTGGATGAATTGAACCTATAATTATAAATAAAAATGTTGTTCATTGGATATTTGGTGCTCCTACAGGCTTCGATTTTATCGAAGTGCATTGTCATCTTGGGTTTGATTCTGGCTTGGAGAAATGAATTGACCTATCTTTACCCAATTTGTCGAGTACTCGAGTGTTCGTGACATCTATGCAGTGTATTATATCTTCTTGATTAAAAATGGGATAGTTCGTGAGATTTTTGTAGACAAACACCTAATAATTGGAAATTGGAAAAAATGAAACGATTCAACGAATCGATGAGCGACATGGGCGATATATCGAACTTAACATTGAATAATTGAACGAATTGCTGAATAAAAGTAACAAATTTTCAAAAGTTTTGATTTTGGATGAAAAACAATGAAAAAAGTTTTTTGATTTTGATTTTGAATATAATATTGATTTTCTGAAATTTATTTATGAGATTAAAGAATGAATTTCAAAAATTAGAATTTTTAATTTAAAAAAAAAAATCAGAAATTAAAAAAATAAATTTTGATTAAATTAGGCATTGAAAAGTCAAAGATGACATAGATACATACATCCTATCATATCTTGCCAAATAGTTAAGCTTATAGTTTTTGTTTTTCAAACGAGTAAAATCATCCCATAATTACATGACATCAGTAAATTACATCAAATACTTCAGAGTTCAGAAAACCAGAGATACTAAAAAAACAGCAGCAGCAAAAAACACCTAAAAAAATTGCTAATCTTACTCAAGAATTGAATGAGGGCAAAGCAAAGCCCAACAAAATCTATTTAATTCAAATAATATACATAAACTATTACTAAAATAAATCATCATAAGCAATAATTTCCCTATCCTTAAATGGAGCATCCAACACAGAACTAGTACTACTACTGGTATTCGTATTGGTATTGATATTGGGATTAACAATGGCTGAACTCAACCTATTCCCCTTCCCATGTCTACTTAGTGGCGCCTCCCCCCTCAACAGCTTCGACGTATTCGCATTCGGACTCGTGTTTAAATTCTTTCTCTCACTTTCCTCCTCAACTCCTGCCTCTCCATTCATTTCACTAGCCCACATCACTTGAACCTGTGAAACATACAGCAATTACAATCTCAGTTTCAATTCAGGACATTTTTCACTGAAAACTCAACATTAATCCACATTAATCTACATAGCCTAAATAAATTAAAATTGCATCAAACAATTCCAAATTTAAGAATCTATAACCTTAGTTCATACTTCATAGTACTGATTTAGCAATGCCAAATTAATCTCCTTGATAAACTCTCAAGATTTTTGCAATTGTATATAAAATATACAATAAAAAGTACAAAACCACCAATTCTTAGAAACAATTAAACAAATCTAAATTCTAAAACTCAAAATTCATAAAAATTATAAAATAAAAAAAAAAATTCATAAAATCAAATCCCTTTTTCAAAAAACCCACATCAAATAAAATCATAATTGCTCCAAATTCAGAAACCCACTTAAAAACCCAGAAAAACAAGAAACTAAAGAGGAGAGAGAGAAAGAGAGGAATACAGGGTGGGAGTCAATGGAGATGCCGAAGGAGGGATCAACGGAGGCGGAGATGGCGGAATCAGCGGCGGATTTAGATCGGTAAGAAATGAACCCAACACCTTGTGGGTCAATCCGGATCCGAGAAATGGGCCCATAGATTTCGAACCTGGATTTGAGGTCCAAAACCGAGCAGCCCAAAGGGAGCCCAATGACGACCAAAGCGGGTGGTGGGGTTGGTTTTTGTTTGGGTGGTTCGACGACAGGAGGTGGCGGTGGAATAGGGCGGCGGCGTTTAGGGTAGGAGTATGGAATATGGCGGGAGTTGTAGGGTTTGTCTCTTTTTCGGCTCATGGTTTTATTATTTGGTTGTGTAATTTGTGTTTGGTTGGAAAACAGAAATATCGTTGAAAAGGAAAAAGCGAAAAACAACAAAGGAAGGGTTTAGTCACTCGTAAAGTCGGAGTTAGGCTTTGTTCTTTAGAGCAGTTCTGCTCTGCTTAAATATAATAATTAATATTTAATAATAATAATAAATAATTAATATTTAATAATTATAATAATAATTAATATTTAATAATAATAATAGTAATAAAAAATAGTAACAATAATAATAATAATAATTATTAATAAAAATAATAATAATTGATTTTTTATAATAAAATTTAATATTTTAAAGATAATAAGATAATAATTATTAATTTTTTTATTAATAATAATAATAAATAAATAATATTTATAATAATTATTATTATTATTAAATGATGATGATGATAATAATAATAATGATAATAATAATAATAATAATAATAATAATAATAATAGTAATAGTAATAGTAGTAGTAGTAATAATAATAATAATAATAATAATAATAATAATAATAATCTGAAAATTCTCTCGATAATTTGGCCGTCTATAGGCGATAAGGGTACAGTTTAGGTAAGTTCATTTTCCGATGGGTTTTTCGGCGTCAGAAAGTCCGGTGGAATCTCGGCGGCATCGTACGGTTCAGGCGTACTTCAGGGGTGGTTTTCAAGCTGCTCCTGGTACAATTTCAGGCGACTTTCAGGCTCCTTTTCGGGCGCGTTTTTGGGTGCAATTACAGGCGATTTTCAGGCTGTTCTCTGGCGCGAATAGGGTTTGTTTTTAGGCGACGTTTTCGGTGTGTTTCATGCGTTTTCAGGTGACTTTCAAGCTCCTTTTCGGGCGCGGTTTTGGGTGCAATTACAGGTGATTTTCAGGCTGTTCTCCAGCGCTAATTGAGTTTGTTTTCAAGCAACGTTTCTGGTGTGTTTCAGGCGTGTTTTTTGGTCAGTTTTTAGGGTGTTTGGCAGCAGATTATTGATCAGATACAGGAAGGATTTCTGTTTTTCCAGTGGTTTCTTCGGTGATCATCTGTCAGTGTTCACTATTTCTGTCGTTGTTCAATTTCGGTGATCACTATTTCTGTTGGTGATCATTATTTCAGTCGGTGATCAATTTTCGGTGAGCATTTTTGGGTTCTGTTTTGGTGCAATTGTGGTGTAATTTTGTGGATTTGTGTTTTGCAGCGTCTTCTTGTACCTTCTATTTTTGGTGCAATTCTTGGTGGTTTTGTATAGGTTTTTGTTGGTGTTCAAGGTGCTTTTGGCTGTGGTGGTGGTGAAGCTATGTCCGTGAGGTTTCATTGTCCCTTTGTGGGTCTTAGTGGTTGTCAAGATGGGGGTGGAAATGGCCTTATCAGAGGTTCTTTGATCAAGCATCTTTGTGATCGTCATTGTTGCATCGGTGCGCGGGATATCACACGGCATTCTCTTACTTCAAATTTGGCAGTTTATACTGAGGCTAAAATTACTTTTTCGCGTATGAGGATTTGGTTATGTGAGGTTTGTTACAAAACGCATACACATCGTACTAAGTGTCGTCATAGTCCGAGTGAGATTGTGTCACCCCCGGATGAAGGAGATGGTATTATTCATTTTGTGCTTCATGGTTTCTCCAAGCCGCAAGCTCCCTCTTCTTCGGCTCAGCTTGGGCGCATAGGGGGTTTGGTGCAAGATCAACATTGTGTTTTTGATGTGGCTCTTCTTGATTGTTTGCTCTCCAAGGGGTTTCGTACTGTGAAGTCTATACCTCCCAAGTGTCGTTTGGGGTTTTCTCGGGTTCTCAAAGGTGACCTTGATCAGGTCATATCTAGGCCTGATGACATTTCTAGTTGCGTCTCTTTGTTGGTGTTACCTCTTTGCACCCTTAAAACCTTTTGCCCGCAGAGCAGCTCTGAATCTAAGTCTTCAGCAAAACGTCGGCATCAAGAAGAGAGTATTTCCCGTGCTATTTGTTCTTGGAGTGTAGGTGGTAATTTGCAGCTTGTGAGGGATACTTTGGCAGAGGATTCTCCTACTTTATTAGTGGTTGGTGATGAGGACCTTGATTTGGAGGAGCGTAATATCAAGCAATGTCGTAGGAAGATTTGTGATGGTCATTACACTACTGCAGTCTGGGTTCTTTCTTCTTCAGGTGTTTCTCCTTATAATGACGTCACTCTCGCGGATTTACAGTCTAAACACCCTACTTCTCCAGCTCCATCCTTGCCTGGTATACCCGTAGATGGCCTACATCTCGTTACTACTTCTGTTGTTCTTTTGGATCGGATTAAGAGTTTTCCGCATGGCACATCATGTGGTAGGGACGGTTTACGTGCTCAGCACCTTATGGATTAATTGAGTGGTGCTGCGGCGGCTGTATCAGATAAGTTAGTTGGCTCTATGACCGGGGTGGTTAATCTCTTTCTAGCTGGAAAGTGTCTTATGGAACTAGAAGAGTATGTTGCTAGTGCTCCTCTTACACCACTTGTCAAGCTTGGTGGTGTATTCGTCCTATAGCTGTGGGTACTGTTCGGCGTCGTCTGATTTCGAAGGTCGGTGCTGTTATGGTTGGCCAGTCTTTAGGAAGTTACTTTGATGGTCTCCAATTTGGTGTTGGGGTTTCTTCGGGAGATGAGGCGATTCTTCATGCTATGAATCGGTTGATTGAGGATCGTGGTTCTGATGTTGGCCTTTCCATGTTATTGGTGGATTTTCAAAATGCCTTCAATCTAGTTGATCGTGCGGCCATGTTACGTGAAGTTCGTCATCATTGTCCGGGCCTTTCGCGATGGGTTGAGTTCTTCTACTTTAATCCAGCTAGATTATATTACGGGGACCACACCTTATGGTCGTCTCAGGGGGTGCAGCAGGGTGATCCCCTTGGTCCTCTGCTTTTTGCTTTGGTTTTACAACCCCTAGTGTGTAAAATCAGAGACACTTTGATGTATATCTTCAGGCTTGTTATTTGGATGACGACACTGTTATTGGTGACACGTTGGTGGTGGGGATTATGGATGAAGGGCCTTGTCTTGGGTTACATCTTAACGTGGAAAAAACTGAAGTTTTCTGGCCTTTAGAAGACCCTCAAAGCAGGCTTGTGGGTGTCTTTCCACCTAATATTGCTCGACCCTTGCGTGGTGTTAAGTTGCTTAGTGGTCCCGCTAGTTCTGATTCCGGTTTTGGAGGTGAGCTTGTGCTGCAGAGGGTAATTAATACCTTTGCGCTTATGGATAGGGTTGCTAAGCTTGATGATCCTTAGTGTGAGCTGTTGTTGCTTAGGGCTTGTACCGGAGTTTCTAAACTCTAATTTGCATTGCGTACTTGTCCTCCTAGTACTTTTGAGATGGCTCAGCGCACAATCGATGGGGCTCTTCGATTTTCCTTGGAGCGTATTGTTACTGCTTCAGGGCCTGGATTTGGTGATTGGCAGTGGCGGCTTGCCACCTTGCCTTTTCCGTATGGAGGCCTTGGGTAGATGATGTATGTCATTATGCTTTTCTTGCTTCGCAGTTACAGTCTGCTGGGTTGCAGACAAGGCTTCTACGGCATGCTGACGTTGTTGGCCTTGGTCGAGCCTTTGAGGATGCGTTGAGCTTGTTCAATAGAACGGTGGAGTCTGACATTTTGAGTAATCCTAGTGAGGTCGCTGCCCCTAAACTCATGAAAAAATTGGCAGGTATATATTTCACAAAGGTTACCGCTTCTGCAGAATCCGCCTTTTCTTTGTCTCCTCGATAATCTGCATTGTGGAAATCGCAGCAGGGAGATCACACCTCTTCTTGGCTTCGGGCGGTCCCTCTTTCTGGGTTGGGTTAGACGATGAACGCAAAGACCTACCGATGTGTGTTGTGCTACCGGCTGGGTGTTCCATTGTTCTCTATCTCGACGTCGTGCTCTACTTGTTCTCGGGTTTTTACTGGGGATATTTTCGGTGATCACGTAGTGTCGTGTGCTGGTATTGTGGGTATTAAACATCGGCATAATGTTGTCCGGGATACCCTTGTTGATATTTGCTACAGATCTGGGATTTCGACAAGAAAAGAGGTTGACATAGGGTTGTCTGGAGGACATGACGGGGCCCTCAGACCTGCAGATGTGTTACTTTATTCATGGGATCGTGGTCGCGATGTATGTGTGGACTTAACAGGGTCTTCTCCTCTGACACAGACAGGGCTATCTGACTTTGTTCCTGGATGGGTTGTGGCTGATGCGGCTTATCGGAAGCGGGTGAAGTATGAAGCTAGTTGTCGGCTGATTGGATATGGTTTCATTCCTTTCTCTTTTTCTTCGCTTGGGGAATTAGAGAAGGAGGTTGTTGAGTTGCTGAAGCGTGTTAAGAGGTTCTCGACGACGCAAGACATTGGGGCTCGTGCTGCAGCTCATATCTTCACTAGGGTAGGCTTTGCTATAGCTAGAGGAGTGGGGGCCCAGATTGTATATCGGCTTCCCACTAATTTATTGTAGGTTGTATGACTGTCTGTTTTTGAGATATAATAATAATAATAATAATAATAATAATAATGCGGTAATAATAATAAAATATGCTCTACTCTGCTCTGCTGACTCCTAAACCTGGGCATCGTGCCGTGTCGGGCCGCCGCGGGTCGTGCCTGGCGGGCCACGATCACCGGCGTGCCGTGCCGGGCGTGCCGGCGTGCCTAGGTTTTCGTGTCGTGCCGGCCAATTTCAAAGGCCAGCCCACGGCCTGGCACAGCCCTCGTGCCTGGCGGGCTCGTGCCGTGCCGGCCTTCGTGCTGGCCTTGTGTAAATTAATTTTTTATTTTTTTTATTTTTTGTTAATGGTTAATAACTTATAAATTATAAAATTATAATTATAAGTTATAAGTTATAATTTTATAACCTATAATTTATAAAATTATAATTATAACTTATAACTTTTATAAGTTATAAATTTATAAGTTTATAACTTATAAGTTACAACATTATAACTATAACTTATAAGTTATAAGTTATAAAATAAATTAAGTTGAACATTTATGTTTTATTATTTTTTATATTCAATATTTATATTTATATATTTAGTTTATACTATTACTTTAAAATTTAATGTTTATGATTTATTAAATATTTTTTTGTATTATTAA